ATAAAATCACTGCCCTTTTGTTTCTGGAGATCCGTAAAGTATCTGGTGAATGACCCGTTAACTTGATTCCTCTTGTATGTGGCTGTGTTGCCATTACAGTAGATGATAGTTAGTAGTGGTGGGTAGTAGTGGTGGTGGTAGTAGCAGTAGTAGTAGTAGTAATAGTAGGGGTGGTGGTAGTGGTAGTAGTAGTAGTGGTAGTAGTAGTAGTAGTGGTAGTAGTAGTAGTGGTGGTGGTGGTGGTAGTGGTAGTAGTAGTAGTGGTGGTGTTTAGTAGTAGTAGTAGTAGTAGTTGTAGAAGGAGTGAGTGAGTTTAGTTTTAAGCCACACTCAGCAATATTTCAGCTATATGGCAGTGGTCTGTAAATAATCGAGTCTAGACCAGACAGTCCAGTGATCAACAGCATGAGCATCGATCTGCATAATTGGGATACAATGACATGTGTCAACCAAGTCAGCGAGCCTGACCACCCGATCCCGTTAGCCGCCTCTTATGACAAGCATGGGTTGCTGAAGATCAATTCTAACCCAGGTTTTCATGAGTAGTAGTAGTGAGTGAGTGAGTTAGTTGAGTTTTAAACCACACTCAGCAATATTCCAGCTATATGGTGGCAAGTAGTAGTAGTAGTGGTAGTGGTAGTAGTAGTAGTTGTAGTAGTAGTAGTGGTAGTAGTAGTAGTAGTTGTTTTAGTAGTAGTAGTAGTAGTAGCAGCAGTAGTAGTAGTAGTTGTAGTAGTAGTTGTTGTAGTGAGTGAGTAGTAGTAGTTAGTAGCCACACTCAGCAATATTTCAGCCATATATGGCAGCAGTCTGTAAATAATCGAAGTCTAGACCAGACAGTCCAGTGATCAACAGCATGAGCAGTCGATCTGCAGTAATTGGGATACAATGACATGTGTCAACCAAGTCAGTAGCCTGACCAGTAGTAGTAGCAGTTTTATGACAAGCATGGGTTGCTGAAGATCAATTCTAACACAGGTCTTCATGAGTAGTAGTAGTGAGTGAGTGAGTTAGTTGAGTTTTAAACCACACTCAGCAATATTCCAGCTATATGGTGGCTAGTAGTAGTAGTAGTGGTAGTGGTAGTGGTAGTAGTAGTTGTAGTAGTAGTAGTGGTAGTGGTAGTAGTAGTAGTAGTTGTTTTAGTAGTAGTAGTAGTAGTAGTAGTAGTAGTAGTAGTAGTAGTAGTAGTAGTAGTTGTAGTAGTAGTAGTAGTTGTAGTAGTAGTGGTATGGTTAAGAATTCACCGTCTAAGTCATGTAGTTGTGAAAGGAAAGCAATAAATTAGAATTGTTTTTAATAAATTTTAATTTCAACCTCATAACAGTCTACTATCAGCCATCTTCAGATAACTTTATTAGACATAATGCACATTTTAATGCTGCACAATAAACAATAAGTAGAGGGCACGGAAATGAGAAGCAATCATGTTGTGATGCTTTAAGTATGTTATACATAAATTTCTGTCATTTTGACTCGCTTAAGCACTTAAAGAAGTACTTGTATCAGCCCGAAGCCATTAGAGTGAAGAGTTTCGGAACTCCTCACAAGTGCTCAGCAGTAAATCTGACGAATACCTCAGCATGACTTGAGATGACAGCATCCTGGTCTATGCCTTTGAAATGTAATTATGACAAATATTTTAATTATTTCAAACCAGTCACATGACTGTCAGTGGGTCAGTAGATTATGCGTTAGTTTGAATACAGCTGCACAGGTTTCATTCCTCTCAAGACTGTCATTTATTGGCCTAGTTTTGATGACACTTAGGGCCTGTTCGATTATTGCGAAACTGGTTTTGGTTTTTGACACTAGTTTCTACTGTTATTAACGAGTGTCTAGTTTCGGATTCATGGTTTCAAAGTGAAACTAGTTTCTAGTTTTATAAACGAGTGGATGGTTTCACCATCCGGTTTCAAAATGGATACCAGAAAAATGTCTCAGCTACTGTATATGTGGAACGAATTGGATGACAGCATATGTTTTTCATTTTATCAGTGAATTAACAAATAATAAAGAGATGAGATGCTTTTGGAGGTAAATATTTGCGTATATGTAATTATACTGTTACAAGTAATTATATATATACAAGTTACATAAAATAGTTATGTTCAATAGACTGGGGTTTTAAATAATATTTTCCTAGTTCTCAGTTGATTTTTATCATTATTTTGGTTCCAAAAACTGCTGCGGTTTTCCCGAAACCAAAACCGGTTTAGCATAATCGAATAGGCCCTTAGTTTACAAACAAAAATCTTAAATTTAGGTTTGTTGTCAAAGTATAAAAACCAACATTTTTTCTGTTTTTTTATGTCTAAAGAATTGTTAATCAGGTAAAGTAACGATCATGGGTACCCATATTTTCCAAGTTATTTCTTGATCCTTCATCCAGGAAATGTTTCCATCTAACCCACTCAGCCACCGACCTTCCACAAAAATGGAAGTCGGACAACTGGTTGTCTAGATGGTGGCTGAGCAGGTAAGGCGGTTGACTTTGTGTGCTGGCGATTAGGTGCCTGACTCTGAGGGTGTGGGTTTGAATCCCAGATGGGACTCAACCCAACAAAAGTACTAGAATCTGTACTTTACTGGGAAGTGTAATCCCAAATATATCCCAACACGAGCTGAATTCAACGTTCTGGTGATTTCGACGATTGCATTGCTCGTGCTATATCGGGTGAGAACATGTGCGATCGGAGTGCACAAACAGTTTCACTGGTAGGGCGGGTGCCCAGTCGCTGTTGTGAGAAGTTTTATTGACAATGGAAATCGGGAAGTAAAGTTATATAAAAAGCAAACAAACATCAATATTATTTACCCGAGATCGTTAATACCACTTCAGATGCAAAATCAGTTGCCTTTATAACAAAAAATAGCAAGTTTAAAAAATTCAGTAGGGTCAGTCGTCTGCTGGTGACAGGCAATATATAAATAGGAAGCCACGTGATCACAACACTCCCTCGCAGTGCGGAGCAAAAAGTATGGCTCATCGTCGTAAACCCATACAAAATACCCAGATGTTACGAGCGGCCACTGTTTCGTGGTTACGATGTCATCAACGCTATTTTTGTAGGAAACACTTGATATTTTTGTGTGAAATAGATGAATATATCCTTTATCACTCCATGTTAGTAAAATAAAACTTTAAATGATATTACAGATAAAAATTACGTTTTTGTCTTACATCGTCGAAAACCCCTGACACCGGGATACTGTATGTTACTTTTGACCATTTCCCATTTGGCACTGTGTATACATGTATGTTTGGATTGTATCCATGGAAACAATCAAGGCTTCTGAAGTGAATACAGACTTTGCCTGTATTGTTTAAAATATTGTTATGAGTAATAATTTCAGGAAAGGCAGTTGTCAATGAATACAGGAAGTTTTTGTCTCGTCGGTAATACACAGGAAGTACAGAGTTCTGTTGGCGTGCTATTTACACACGTTGTTTCATTGTTGCATAATTAGTTAATGACTCTTGAATTAATATTTGAAAAAGAGCTTGTTTGTTTAGTTAGGGGGTTGTATGACAAGTCGACCATCTGCTACCAGCAGTAGATGATCGTCCCCTGTCCTGTACGATTGTAATGGTAATGAGAGCATGATTAAATGCCTTTCTTTAATCATGTGTGTTTGAAACAACCAAATGCCAAAAGTCATGGGAAACTGTGACAGAATGGTGACAGCGTCAGGCAGTTGTTGGATGAATGGTGTGACACATTCATATGTCTGTCATGAAGTCGCTGTTTCAAACATCCGTCAAACTGTGTCATCTAATTCAGTAACAGAGACTAAACTGTCATAAACTGACCAGTGTGGGAAGTGGACGTGGATATCAAGGCAGTTTTTCAGTGGAGAGATTTCAAGGCATGTTCTTGGGTGGATTGGATTGGATTTTGACTGTGTTTTTAGGTGGTTTTTATGCTCATCTGCTACATACATGGCCACAGCTGCATGATGCCTAGGGACCATGGGATATTCAAACACTTTGCACCAGATACCAATTTTGTCTGTGAGGTTAAACTAACTCTAAAAATTTGATGGTGATGATGTTTTGCTTCAAATTCAAAATTATGCCAGGCCCCATCCCACTTAAATGGTTGATGAGTAAATATTTATGTTAAATTCATCAACATTTACGAGAGCAGGTAACCCATTGGAAATTAGATCTGTGGATATCATGTGTTGATATGGATGAATGAGTTAACTATTAATGTACATTTCCTCCATGTGATCGACAAGCACGTGTTCAGGACATCAGATAGGCTTTAATTACATCAAAATTACTAGGACTGAAAAGGTGATGTTTTCATGTAAATCATTAGATCCTGATGATAATTTTTTGTGTAAATTCACATATTTTTTGGGTGTATCACAGGTGTATATTTATATAGTTTAATGATGTTTGACTTTATCAATATCTGTCAGCTTCAAGTTGTTGATATCAATCAGTGCGAAAATAATGCTGAAAATGCATCTCTTTGGAAGTTTTTGATAAAAAAATTTTATGGCAAGTTGACATTTGTTTGGCGACAGGGACATGTCAGTGCATTGTCGATGTTTGCCTGGTGAATTTTGTTTAGACGTGTGTTTGTCTGCATTGTTGGGAGGGTGACATTGAAATGTACATGTGTGGATGTCGTTTTCAGCATACCTTGGCTCTCAGTCAGATCTTGAGCTGATGTGAAAAAGACAGTATATTACCTGAAGTGTGTGATACAACTTACTTATGTCACCTTGAGAGTATGCACTATGGGGATGTGTGCTACAGATGTTATCACATGGAGTCAGATCAGCTTTGAAATGGACAACCTGTGTGAAATGTTTTAAAGACTTGTTGGAAGCATTGGATGTGATTACAGTGTGGTTGATGTAGTGTGTGGTATTGGCATTAACCTTGACTCCATGGGAAATAAGTACCTTGGAGCCTGTGATGTACCTGATATAGACAGATCACTGTGACACACTGTAGAAATTGACAAGCGTGTGATACTGACCTATATTGACCAGCTATGGCCATGTGCAGGGTGGAAGATTCCTATCAGAATTTACTCAGGTATGTGTTGAAATGTGTTATGTCATACTTTAACAGTGTGCTGGAGTATTCAGTTAATACTCAAGGAAATTTCAGGCAATACTGTACATAACTCTTCCAGCATATCACATGCTAGACTAAAGTTTCTGAAATATTTCAAGTTTGATAGAATGGGAGGCCAATGAAGATGAGAGATTCAGAACCAGACAGAGATCTAGACTTGCTTCATTTAGTGTACATGTGTGGCGGTGGGGTAGCCTAGTGGTTAAAGCGTTGGCTCGTCACGCCAAGACCCGGGTTCGAATCCCCACATGGGTACAATGTGTGAAGCCCATTTCTGGTGTCCCCCGCCGTGATATTGCAGGAATATTGCTAAAAGCGCGTAAAACCAAACTCAGTCAGTCAGTAGTGTATATGTTACAGTCAGATTGTGAAATCAGTCATTTCGTGAAATGACTAAAAATTTCAGTCATGTCATGAAATAACTAAGAGGGTCAGCCATTCAGCTATTCCTACTGCTCGTTCTCATTCTTCCTGGGTTAACCTTGCCATTCTCTCTGTGTGACTTTATGTGCAGTGATATTTCAGTGTTGGACAGGCCATTTATACTGATTTTTTGCACAATCTTTCCCATGTATCCGACTAAGACATGTGTTTCGTGTTTCTGATAGTCGGGGCCTCAAAATGCGTTTTGGCGATTTGTTTCGTGCATCATGAACATTGGCAATCGTTATCAAGAACATTTACATCAAATTTGATGGAAACGTCCAAACCTATTTATATAGCCAATAACGAAATGGCTGATCCTCTTAGTCATTTCACGAAATGACTGAAATTTGTAGTCATTTCATGAAATGACTGATTTTACAATCTGACTGTAACATACATAGTATAGCAGTATGGGCTGGTTGGAGGGGAAAATAATGTGGTTCAGGGACACCCTCCAGTTGGTTCAGCATGCTTGCAGACTTACATGATGAAGTAAATTGAAACCTTTTGGATAATCTATCAATGACATGTTCACTGCATCTGATATCCCCAAAAGGACCCTGTGGTGATGAAAACATTGGGCCATGATGAAAGCATATTAACATCACTGTATGTTTATAATTTTGTCGAAGAGAGGATTGATGTCACCTGATAATGAAAAGTACTAAGATCTTCTAGTACAGAAGGATCTCATCGGACAGCCAGAATGTGTCAGTTGAATAACAGTATTTCATAGTATTTTATTGTGAAGCTTGAATGTGTGATATATGAAATGAATGCTGCAAGGAGCTTTGAATTTGGCTGGTGAAGAGATTTTGTTACTAGTATAATGCTACACTCAAGTACAGTACAACCAGAAATTATTGAGAATTTAAAGATTGTATTTTTTAAATATTTTTCACTCATTACTCACGTATTAAATGTGAATATTAGCAGAACATAACTCCAGATTCAAAGACAGGTGAACAGTTAGTATTTTGTCAAGTCACCATGGGCAGCAATGCAGGCTTCAATGCGGCGGGCATACTACTGATCAAAGAAGTTAGAAAGTCGTGGTCCATGCTGTCCCAATATCGGACCACCTCTTCTTTCATTTCAGCAATATTTGTCAGATTTTTCTTATTGACACTTTCCTTCATAAGTCCCCAAACATTTTCTATTGGATTTAGGTCAGGGCTATAGCTTGGCCAATCTAATAATGTCATATTTTGGGTCCGAAACCAGGCCTGTGAATGCTTTGAACGATGTTTTGTGTCGTTGTCCTGCTGGAAAATCCAAAAATTTCCATAGAACACGTGAGCAGATGGAAGTAAATGTCCCTCGAGAATATCTGTGTACCGCTCACTGTTCATATTCCCTTCAAATACACAGAGGGGCATTGCCCCTAACACAGATATGCCACCCCATACGTTAAATTTCGGACTGTTCTTTGGGCGCTGATACAAAGGTTTTTCAGTTTGTTTGGTCCAGAATTTCAGTGTATTAGGAAACAGCCACACAGAACTTTCATCTGAGAAAATCACATTGTCCCAGTTAAAAATTCTATGCTGTAAGCACCAGTTCAACCTTCGCTCCTTTTGTTCAGGTTTCATGATCGGTGATGGAATTCCTCGACTTTTCTGCCAACCCATTGCATGCAGCTCAGTTCTTATTGTCTCCTTACAGACAGCCACAGTTCCTCTATCAATCCTCTATCAGCCTTAAGTTTCTAAACTCCTTCGTTTGTTTTTAGAAACAAGAATACCAAGCCACCTCCTGTCACCGACATTCAATTTTCTGGGCCTACCTGTGCCTCCCTGGTGCGCAATGCCATATCCATTTGCAATATTTTTCAAAACACGATAAACAGTGGACAAAGGGATGCCTGTTCTACTTGAAATCACTTTAGCTGATCTGATGTCCTTGTTATAATACTCTAAAATCAACTTCCTCTTCTCTAAATCATCCATACTGAGGATCACTGAAAATGTCGTCTGCTAGCAAGTAAACAAAGGGGGATAACGCTTCACAAACTAATGAAAAAGGATTAATGGAGTTGTCTCTCTTGAATGAAACCAAGCACTTGATAGCTGGTCAAGGTTGTTTATACTAGAAATCCAATTTAAACATATTCCTAAAATTCTCAATAATTTCTGGTCATACTATATTCCATCTATGTAACTGCTGTCTGTAAATTCTCCAGTCTGGACCAGACACAAGCTATTGAAAGCATGACCATCGATCCATGCTTGTGGGTCAATGATGACTTGCAACAACATAGGTGACCAAGGCTGTCAGCTACATTGATGTAGTCGTTGTTGCAAGAAGCATAGGTCAGAGGGAACATATCTGCTTACCTTGAACACAAAAGGTTCAGTAGCCTTGATCACAGGGTTCCTGGGGTTTTAACTTCAGTGCACACAGCTATGAGCACATAATGGTTGTCAGGAACTTGGAGTTGTATCCAGTATGTATCATTGACCCATCCAGTCCCCTAAGTGTGTTATTACATGTTACAATTTTCCTGCTGCTCAGTGTGATCTGAAGTGTCCACTGTTGGTGTGTATATGTGTATACATGTGTGTACAGGTGTCTGCATGTGTGTACAGGTGTCTGCATGTGTGTACAGGTGTCTGCATGTGTGTACAGGTGTCTATTTGTGTTTCAGGCTGGTGTTAGAGAGGGAGTCGCGCCACCAGTCCCGAATGGCCCAGAAGCACATTGCCGTGTCCACATGGCTGGAGGCCCTAGGGATGCTGGAGTACCTTGCCACCTTCCACCAGTACGGAGGAGTCGAGGTGAGTTCACACAGTCACTATAAGAGGGTTCTATAAGAGTATTCAGGTTTGGGCTCCAGGGCCTCGTTCCACAAAGCGATCGTAGCGCTACAACGGTTGTAAGTCTATGTTAAAGTATGGGAGTTACGATCATCTTAGCTCTACGACTGTCGTGAGTCTATGGTAAAGTATGGGAGATACGATCATCTTAGCTCTACGACTGTCGTAAGTCTATGTTAAAGTATGGGAGTTACGATCATCTTAGCGCTATGATCGCTTTGTGGAATGGGGCCCTGGTTTGACATGGCTACCAGGATCTTCTGTAAGCTTGGTTGGTGAGATGGCCACTCTATTTAGCTCAAAGTTTGTTCAAGGAATCACGCGGTGGCTCGTCAAGGAATCACAATCTGTCCAGTATGGCAGCTGGGATGCAAGCAACATTTTATTCATTTTAACCTCAGGCCATTGAAGCTGAAAGAAAAGACGTTTTCCCATCGACGAAACACTATTTTCTTCCAGTGGCCAAGTGTTATGTTCAAAATGGCAGCAGATTTTAGGATTTGGGATGCTAACTACTTTGACAACTTGCTTGCCTGTTGCATGAATCCCATTTAGGAAGCCATTGTGGAATGGAGATACTGCTGTCACTGAGCATAAACACTCACTCACTCAACATGAATCCCATTCAGGAAGTCATTGTGGGATGGAGACACTGCTGTTGCTGAACATAAACACCACTCACTCACTCAGCATGAATCCCTGCAAGTAGCTGTAAAATAACACCTTGAGTTAGTCATCACTAACAGTCTCATATCATGAACAATTAAGTACCAAAGCTTCATCAGTAACCCAATGCGGTATACACCCATCAGCATTAAGCTTCAACATCAGCTTCTTGCCTCATCTTACTCAGCTTCCTTGGAAACACCCTGCTAAACACATCACTCGGCAATAACACACAGGTTAGTCGCAGAATGTACTGCTTGTAAAACTATTACCTTGGCAACTGTTTCCACTCTCCATGTCGGCTATTATGTCGGAACAGAGACAGACTGGCTGCCACATTGTCAGATATAGCTGATGGGTACTTTGATTTTGTGAGAACCATGGGATCCTGGGGTAGTGTAGGTATGACCAGTAGGTATAACCTGTAGGTATAACCAGCAGGTATAACCAGTAGGCATAACCAGCAGGTATAACCAGTAGGCATAATCTGTAGGTATAACCAGCAGGTATAACCAGTAGGTATAATCAGTAGGTATAACCAGCAGGTATAACCAGCAGGCATAACCAGCAGGTATAACCAGTAGGTATGACCAGCAGGTATAACCTGTAGGTATAACCAGTAGGCATAATCTGTAGGTATAACCAGCAGGTATAACCAGTATGTATAACTAGCAGGTATAACCAGTAGGCATAACCTGTAGGTATAACCAGGTAATACCAGTAGGTATAACCAGTAGGCATAATCAGTAGGTATAACTAGCAGGTATAACCAGTAGGCATAACCTGTAGGTATAACCAGGTAATACCAGTAGGTATAACCAGCAGGTATAATCAGTAGGTATAACCAGCAGGTATAACCAGTAGGTATAACCAGTAGGCATAACCAGTAACAGCAGGTATAACCAGTAGGCATAACCAGTAGGCATAACCAGCAGGTATAACTAGCAGGTATAACCAGCAGGTATAGCATCGACCTGTTGGCAGCCAGCATTTTTGCAGGATATGATTCTAATATTGTTGCCTCAAACATCATAACTTACTGACACATCACTTGTGATTATTACAACCATACTTGTCTAAGGTGAGCTACAGTGCCTGTGTCTGATGTCTTAATGTTCCTCATTACAGTTGGTTTAGTGTTGATGGTGACCAGATGGATCTTGGCAGCTTTGTGATAACATCCATTACAGGGGGACTGTTCCACATAACTCATATAAATTACATTTACAACTGTCATTTGTTTTGCCCCCTTCCCTCCATCTTTGTCAACTCCCCTGTTCATCACCTGCGCTCTCTCCTCCCATAATAATCTCACCATTGTGGCAAGCTGGCAGCTGATGATATATTCATGTTTTGGCAATATTGTTTATTTTTGTGTAGTGTTTTGTATACAATGAGCAGCGGGAGTGTTTGAGCTGCATGCTGAGTGTTCAGAATGTTTATCACTCCACAAGAACTGTCTCCAATGGCTTCTTGATTGTATCTTTATGACAAGGCCAAAAAATGGCGCTCTGGAACAACTCGGCACAACTTAAGCGGTTTGCTCCGATTCAGAACATATCTAATTGTTACTGCAGGGTGGAGAATGACAACATGGTGTGCTGCGGCCACAGATCAGCAATCTTTCAATTTCGGAACCAGATTAGTGGATGGGAATAACTGCAGTGGGAAACTTGGCAGCATTAGTGGAAGTTTTGTGACAAATGTGCAAAAACGTATTGCATGAATGTAGAGAACCCCCCGAGTCTGAAGGTTGTTGTTGTTCTTGTTGAGCGTCAGTGTCACCATTATGTCTGGGAGGTATGTACAGAAGGTGTTGAACACATTCTCAGTGGCGCCGGTCACCTCCTGAAGTTTATACATACCTAGCCTGGCTCCAAGACTGTCCTCAATTATTTACAATTTCAAGTGTAGATAACAACAACTTTTTATAATTTATTTATATAATTTGGGATTATAATTTAAACTTAATTATTTTCTATGAGACTTGGTTACGTCTAAGACATGTAAAGGCACTTACTGGAGTACAGTCAGGGTTATGTATGTGATTTTAAGCAAAGTGCCAGTGGCAGGCAAATTAGGGGAAAATAGTTATTTTCTTAAGTTCTTATCTCCTTTTGTTCAGAGTTGTTTTAACATTGTATTTTGAATATATATTCAATACAAGGCTTTATAACTGTTTTGAAAATATCTTTGGTCCTGTTATCAGTGAGATACAGGTTCTTTCCACAAAGCTCTTAGTTGATAGTTATATATAACCGTTAGTTATTTGTTTGTTTGTTTGGTGTTTATTTTCTTGTTAACTCCACACTCAGCAATATTCCAGCTATATGGCGGCAGTCTGTAAATAATTGAGTCTGGACCAGACAATCCAGTGATCAACAGCATGAGCATCAATCTACGTAACTGGGATACAATGACATGTAAACCATGTCAGCTTCTCACTACAAGCATGGATTACTAAAGACCAATTCTAACCCGGTCTTCACGTGTGGATTAGTTGTTAGGTTGTCGTTACTTTAGTCAACATAAGTTTGAAAATTGTTATGATAGTTTCATCTCTTGGAACCCATTTCAACAGTTACGATCATGATGATGAGAGCAGGTGGTCACTGTAAAGTGACTGTTCGCCCAGGACTTTATGATGAGTCATGTAATTCCAGAGGATAAGTAAGTGCTTCATCAGCAAAGAATGCATCCATCCAAAACAGGATCGCAGACTGAAGCGCGCTTAGAACCACAAGAAGCATCTTGTATAAACAGTATAAAATTATTAGCCTCATTTTCCTCGAAAACATGTAAGAAAATCATTTGATAAAAGAAGCAATGCAACATTTACATTGATCACAGATTAGATGCCAAACACTGGTGTTGGATTACCTGGCGGCTAGTGACGGAGATGGAAGGGAGGGAGATGTTAATCTTCCCTTGTGTAAACTTGTCTCTCTGGAACCTGCAGATGATGTTGTGAAAACAAATTACTGGGTTATCAGACTCGTGCATTTCACATGTAGATGTCAGCCTTGTATAAACACTGCCACAAACAGGGCTTGTATACCTGCCTACAGCAGGGGCTGCCACGTACATGTTGATGGAGTAAAGGGACAGGTGCAGCTTGTTTTAGGTACAGGATCTCTTCTTGTTGTTAAAAACTGTTTCAAATTTTGAATGATATCTTATGTTCCTAAATACCCCTTTTGTCAGTGATAATTTGACTCTTGGCCTTAAACTGTTGTGATTTTATGAGTGCTTCAAATAATTCATGACAACTAGTTAGCCAAGCTGAGTGGTAGGGATGGGGGTTGTTGTAGGGCTGGAGGGAAGTATCAGGGTACAGGATATGTGTTGTGTCTAGACCACTCTATATCTTCATCTCACATCCAGCATTTACTATGCGACTGGGGCGACCAATAGGAGTGGTGCTGATGTTGGGACACTTAGTACAGTTTTTAAAATGTTCAGGATGATGAAACAAATGTCAATTATTGTCCATGTGTGTGGTCTACTTTTAACTCATATATTGATCTCATTATGAAATAATATGACCTTAAAACTTTTTAAAATAGTTATGATACTGTTGACAAGTATTTGGTATGATATAGGATTGACAAGTTCTGAGGTATTCTGTTGACAAGTACTTGGTATGGTACTAGATATTGAGAAGTACTGAAGCATTCTGTTGACAAGTACTTGGTATGGTACTGGATATTGAGAAGTACTGAAGCATTCTGTTGACAAGTATTTGGCATGGTACTGGATATTTGAAGTACTAAAGCATTCTGTTGACAAGTACTTGGTATGGTACTGGATATTGAAAAGTAGTGAAGTATTCTGTTGACAAGTACTGAAGCATTTGTTGACAAGTACTTGGTATGGTACTGGACTGACAAGTACTGAAGTATTCTGTTGACGGTGCTGGCGAGTGGTATGGTACTTGATATTGACAAGTACTGAAGTATTCTGTTGACAAGCAGTATGGTACTGGTTTGACAAGTAGTGAAGCATTCTGTTGACAAAAACAAGAAACTTTGTCTCTTCAAACAAGCCATTGACCAATTGGTTGGTTATTCATAAAGGGCTGCTGATTCTGATGACTATGGTATTCAAGTGTGGTGTCAAGTTGTTTGTTTACTTTTTGGCTTGTTTGTTTATTGTTTAGTGGCGCAGTCCGCAATGAGCCTGCTATATGTGACAATGGCCTGAAAATAATTATGAGCAACAGTCGACACCATTTGGACACAATGACAAACAGTCAATGAACATAAGTTGCTGAGGAACCTTAACATAGCATGACA